TAAAGCACACATTACGCGTCAAACCACACATTCTTTTGGGCTCAAGGGTCCCTAGATTATCTAGTATCACTAAAACGTTGATTTTTACGTAACAATCATTTGCATTGTGATTACATACTTGAACTCTTGAAGGTACCATTACTAAAATATGTTTCACTTATTACAATTTTTTAGGACCAACACTTTTTAGATTTTGACATTGAAAGTGAAGTAGATATGTTTGGCATGACTGATGAAGAGTCCAACACAGGAAGTGACGATAAAGTGTTCTCAATGAAAATTTTAACTGATGACGATAAATTGTTCTCAAAAACAATTTTAACTGATGACGAAAATAAGAATTTGTTCGATCCTGCCACAGGCATCAGTAATTTAACTGTAAGTAGACCTTCACTGTCTGCCTTTTCTTGGTGTCATAATTGTTAATTATGTTGCTTAATGAAAATATATCTATTCTGATTCTGAACTTACAGATCCAAGCAACACCTCAGCCTCAGCTTTCAAATCCCAGCCAGATCTCTTCGGTCTCTTCCCAGCAGCAGTGTGACCACCCACCATATGACTTGGATGTTATGGATCCGCAGCTTTCTGAGGGTGAGGTTCCAGGGGCAAAAATTAAGGAAGATGAACTTGAAAAAAAGGACAATAAAAGCCTTATGAGGTGGCTTCATTGTCGGAGACATCCTACTCGGGGAAATAAGGCAAAGCTAATAGAAAGGTTTGTAATTTTTGAAATTAACTAAAATGCAGTACATTTTTCTATATTTAAGCAACTTGTTTACTTATGTAGGATAATGCACCACGTGAAGAATGATAAAGGAGGGAAAATCTACCACGGGGTTGATGGTGGTAAATGGTATGAAAGGAAAAGGAAGAAGCTGATAGCACAGGTTAATATATCCACTTGTTACAATCAATGGCTCAAAAAATAATGTTTCCTTCTTTAAATACCATATGAAATTTTATTTTATGCAGGCTCATCAATCTAACCAGAACGCTCTGCCTATGATGCCCGTTGGAAACAAAGTTTTTCAGCCGTTCCCCAGCGTGCACATACCAAACAAATATTTATCAGCCAAGGCCAGAGATTACCTAGACCTTATACCTAATATCAGATTCTCGTATGTGGGTGGTGTTGAAAGTGAAGATGGAGATGGAGATGAGCAGGTGGTGGTAGACTTCTCCCAACCAACACAGCAAGATAGGGAAAATATTTTTGTGGATGGGACGCTAAAAAGAGCAAACCAATTCATAGACAGTGGCAGAGTTCTGGGGATTACTGACTGCATAAGAAACTTGCATTACTTTGTTAAGGCAGATGTTCGAGCATCATATGTGGCAGACACCTATAAGGTGTCTGTAATGATATCCAAAACTCATGGAAATGTATGCTTTGCAGAATGCACATGCAAGGCGAGAGCACTTGCAAGGTGCTGCCACATAATGGCTGTTCTGCTGCTCATTGGTCGTCATGTTGAATCAAAAGGACACGAAGGTAAGTTCACATAAGTTTAATCAAATAAAATCCAATATTTTCAATATTGACAAATAATAATTAAAAGTATCATAGACAGTAAAATCAATCAATCTATCTAACATAACTGCCTGTCTGAAATGCTGCCCTCAAAACCTTCACTTAAAAAAGACAGGCCACCAAAACAAGAAATCACAACTAGAAATTTAATTGTGTTTGCAGCCTTGTAAGAAGAGTAGGTATTATTTTGCTGCTGAAAATGTTTAGGCTGTTGAATCTTAAAGTGAGTGGAGTCAATGATGACCCTGAGGTTTGGAAACTTTTCATAGCATCTTGGCTTGAGTGGATTCTGGGCTGCAGCTGATGTTAACATGAGGTCGTCCATTTTTTTAAATTGTAGACTCATAAACCTTGTCCATTTGTAACAGATTCTTGATGCATGATATTTGCTTATATTGAAAAGAACCTTAAGGTCCCTCACTGGAATACCTCTCCGTAATCTCAATAGAGTGAGAAATAGTTTATCTCGGGCAGTTAACTTCCAATTGAAGGGCTCCCTGTCAGGAGTCTTCGCATCGTACTCGTAGGGTAAGGGGCCCAGTAGTCGACAGTTTAAGAGCAAGGCTTTTCCAAATTGCCTACAACGGAGCGTGGGTGTACGGTAGCGTCAAGGAAATATTTCGGGGGTGTAGTGAAAGGATCAAACTTTATGCCCCATAGGTCAAAAATGGAAATAAATACATTTTTGTACACAAAACTGTAAACCAAAAAACAATGTTCATTGGCCCAGTAGTCGACACATTTGGCCCAGTAGTCGACACTGCCTGGCCCAGTAGTCGACACTCTGTCATTTTACCCGGATTGCCGTGTCTGATGGGTCTTTGCAGCCTGGCTAGCCTTCCCCTGCTCTTGGTCGCCTCTTTGGCCATCAGGGTGTCCTTCTTCGCCCTCTTTGCGAGGTGCTGTTCACCTTCTCCGGCCTTCAGGCGACCTTTTTTGAAACATGGTGAAAAACATTTTTTTCTAGTTCTAAAGAGCGTCGTTTTTTGGCTACATATCGGAAAATAATTTTCTTAGCGCAATTAGTCTAAAATGAAACAGTTCTGTCGCGTCAAAGCGCACCTAATAATGTATAGGACGACACGATGTGACATACGAAAACTGGGAAGTGCCGGCAATAGCTTGGTAATTAAACCTTAGTTTGTTACCTAAAATGTCTTGTTGGCAAGCTGAAGATGTTATCGCACAGCGTATCGACACCTGAGTTACATCCCTATATAAATTCCACACCGGACCGCATATAGCCGCTCCCGGGGTTATGCCCACGGCGGCCCAGGGGGGTAAAAAGTGTCAATTTC